GCTCGATCCCAGGACCCTGGGATCGAGCCCCACATCGGGCTCTCTGTGAAGCAGGGAGCCTGCTTCCCTTCCTCTCTCTCTGCCTGCCTCTCTGTCTACTTGTGATCTCTGTCAAATAAATCAAATAAAATCTTAAAAAAAAAAAAAAAAAACATTTGAGGGGCGCCTGGGTGGCTCAGTGGGTTAAAGCCTCTGCCTTCAGCTCAGGTCATGATCTCAGGATCCTGGGATTGAGCTCCACATCGGGCTCTCTGCTCAGCAGAGAGCCTGCTTCCTCCTCTCTCTTTCTCTGCCTGCCTCTCTGCCTACTTGTGATCTCTGTCTGTCAAATAAAAAAATAAAATAAAATAAAATAAAATAAACATTTGACAACACTGAAAAGTTGGTCTTGATGGAATTACATTTTATCAATTTTAAAAGGCACATTAACTTCTAAAACTGGGATATGTCTTTCACAATGGAAGGTATCTAGCCATAGCCACTGGTTTAGATTAAAGTTGAATTTTTCCAGAGAAGATGTGCATCTGCTTCTGCAGTCATCTGGGAGCACCACCAACCTGAGATCAGTGTGAATTAAATCCACTATTGCAGGCTTTTGTGGGTCACACTGATAATATGACTTCAGACTCCAAACCTGAGGCTTGTGGTTCAAATTCTCAGGGGAGGTTCTTTTGTTTCTTCTCTAGCCAGTGCCATGGTTGACATTGGTAGTTTCTTTGTTTTCCCTTTTTTGCACAGGTTAATTTCTCATCTATCCTTAGATTAAAGGTACAGACCCTTGGTGTCTCAGCTTTGTAAAAGAGGTCTCCTATGACTCCCCATCCTGAATATTTTTTCCTTAGCTGTACATAACATAATGACACTTTTTATCATCTACAATGTCCTAGATTTGATGAAATATTGTTTAAGTAGGTTTCTGTAGTTTCTATTAAGTAGACTTCAGGCCTCCTATATAAATTGATCATTAACCTGCAAACCTTTTTTATTCCACTGAGTATTTCCTCCTTAAGCCTGTAGCTTTACATCCTAAAAACTTACAACATGTGTTGCTATATTTCACAAAAAACTAAATTACCATGTACAATGAAAAAGCCCTAAAATAAATGTCTAATTATAATTTATCTTTTTCAGCCTAATTCCTAATACTTATGATGGTTTATAAATTTCTAGTTGAAAAAAAATTAGCATTTTCCCTCAAAGCAAATAAAATTCTAAAACTTAGGCAAATTAGCTTTTAGAGAAGACATACTTGGTTTGACTCTAAGGACAGAAAAATAAATTCTGAATTACTTAGGTATAATAATGGAATGCATTCTATTTAGCAAAACAAATTTAGAATAACAAAAAATGTACCCATCTTTCTAACAAATTATTACAAATTCTAATTTGGCTTTATGTCTCATAAACCCAAATCAGCCTTCATTTCCTTTATTATTTCATTCAGTATAGAGATCAAAACTAGAAATAAATAAGCTAAGAAATAAATAACCCTCCATCAAAGAAGCATGATTTATCTTTTAAATATCAACATTCGGAAAACTGATTCCTTTCCAAAACTCTAAAAAATGTTCAGTAGCAATACCTGCAAAAATAAAAAAAATGCTAAGTCTACTATAATGTGAAATTAGACACTAAAGGAAGAATATGAGAAAATTGACCTTAAAATGAGTCAATAATGTGCTTTAAGACAAGCTGACAACCTGAATGACCATAATTGAAAAGAACTCATTTCAGTTGCCAGAGTTGATCTGCTCTAGTTAGCAAAAGCAAACTTTAAGATGTTCTGGTTTCCCTTATAATCGACTTGTAGGAAAGGCCACCTGCTGGCAATAGCTAACATATATTAATCATTTAACTTCTCACTTAATATTTAGAACTATCCTATGAGGTAACTGATCATTATTCTTTTATTCTACCAACAAGGAAACTGAGGCTTAGAGGTGTTAAGAAACTTGTCTGTGGTCACCCAGCTCCTAGGGTAAGAGTAGCAATAATGATCTATTATTAGCTAGTAATAGTAACTTCCAGCACAGGTTAGACATTTATCACCACTGCCTCAGGTTATGATTAGTTTCCGGAAAACAAGATGGTTAAGGTCCAACAGAAAAAGAAACACATAAACACTAAGTACAACACTGTTTTATAAGAATTCTACAAAGTGTGAAGGGATGAGGAAAAAAAAAGAGAGGGATGAGTAGGAAGGCAACACATAGGTTGTCCTCTGTAAATAAACTATTTGTTAATAATCAATGCCTCTTTAAGTAAAGAACACCCAAAATGTATTTCCTGGTCAATATACTTTCTTTTCAAAGTATTAATTTACTGTTTTTCATTCATGAAAACCTATCAAACCATGTTCTGCTGGTCTAACTTCAGAGTATATAAAACTCACATGTATTCATAGTATGCATTTAATGTATGTAACATGCATAAAATCTAGATTATAATACTGAATTATTTGGTTTGGGCAGGAAAGTGTAGTTGGAACACAAAATGTTTCTGACCTGCCACTTAATCTGAACCATCTGCATCAGTGATAAAAACTGTATTAAGAATGAAAGGAATTTACTTTTCTCTGTGACTCTTCTAAAGTAGCAGAAGAGTGTTTTAAGCTTCTCTGGTTTCCTTGATGAACGTCCTTCAAACAACCTGAAAAAGACCAAATAAAGAAAATAAAAAAGAGTGATCTCAAATGCCTTAATGATTCACAAACAACTAAATATATTGGTACCGAGTAAAGGAAGGCAATCCTATAAAGACAGAGAACTGGAAAACCAGATTCCAACGGCATCTGGAGAAGACTAAAACCAACTAGAACCAAGGCTTCTTAAAAGTTGTTCGAGTCAGATGGCACTCTCTAGCAACCACGTTTCTCCCATCTATCTTCCTCCAGGGAGAAGGCACCATCTGGCCCCTCAAAGTCAATTAGGCCAGTGAGTTAACGCTCAATCATTTTCCCAATGGCAAATACTAATAATTCATAATATTACTAGGTAGTTAAATGAATGAACAAAAATGGTGCATGAAAAAAAATATCCCCACAATTTTGTTGGGGGAGGGATGGCAATGGGTGGTTATGACACTGACAAGCAGGTATGACACAGTATTTAGGGACTGACCAATCTTTGGTAATTAAACAGATATACCCTTTGCACAGTAAGCAAAACAATGCCTACTCATCTAGCTTCCAGCAACCTGGACTTGCACTACTTAATTTAGTCTTCTTTGAAATGACGTGGCATTGTTAATGGTAAAACATAATGCAATTTATCCTCAGGAAAGAAAAGCAGGGCTTTGGAAGCATATGACCTGAATAGGGAGTTCGCTAAAGAATTTCAAACACAAAAGCATGCTTTAGGCATAAGATCTAGCTTTCCAAAGGCATTTAAAAATTATAAAGAAATTCTGCAGCTATAAATGACGAGGAATTATTTATCGGCCTCTAGTCATATACTCTGGCTTTACAACCAGAAACCGTTCAAGTAAAAGTTCACTTTAATAAGTGACGAAATGGGTACAATTTTTCATTATTAGAAAAGCAAGCTTATGTAACTATGCAGAGAGGGAAAAGTTAATTTCATGAGAAAATCCTATTGAGCAACTGAAATGAATTAGGGAAAGGGAAGGAAATGTAGATTTCAAATGATCCTGTTTTCAATGATCTGAAATTCTGTATTCAGGGTCAATTTCTGAGAAAACAGTTTATGTGAATACTTATTTCCTGAAAAGAATACTAATGTCAGAAAAGTATTTTAACCAAATTTAAAATTGAACTGACTTAAAAAATAAAATAAAATTGAACTGATTTTTTAAAACAGTTTAAGAGTTCCTGTATGGGGGTGTCTGGGTGGCTTGCTTGGTTAAGTGTCCGACTCTTGATTTCAGTTCAGGTCATGATCTCAGGTTGTGACATAAAGCCCTGAGTTGGCTCTGTGCTGGGCATGGAGTCTGCTTAAGATTCTCTCTCTCCCTCTGCCCCATACCTCTTAAAAAAGAGACCCTGTATGGTCATTTTTACTCATTTAAAAGAACTTACTTTTCTAAAATGTTTATTACAAATACCCTTAAAATCCACTGCCTGCTGAAAGAAAGGATCTTTGAGAGCACAGGTTTCAGCTTGGTTTCTTATGTAATATGTCAACCAGGATAGAGTTTATTTAAATAAAAATGATAGTCAAAATGAAGAAGCCACCTGGTAGTTTAATTAAACATCCAGTATCAAATAAATGTGATTTACTAAATGAGGATCTTGGGATCCACTGCAAAATCCCTTTCTAGGTTTACTACTTAGTAGAGGGAAACAGTATGAATATAAAGGCAGCCATCACCTTTTCTTAGAGATGAACTGATATACTACATAATCCAAGTAAAGTTCCTCTTCCACAGAACTACTGTGTAGTAAGGAAAAAAGTAGTTGTTATCCTTAAGAAACAATTCTCCCCAAAATAAAAAGCATCCCTGCCTCATATTTGTGGTCAGTTGTTTGTAAAATCACATTGAAGTTCATGTATTTCATAACCACAATGACAAAGTAGTTAGCCTAAGAGCCTCTTGGGACTGTAGATTTATTACCCCAGCAATACTGACTTTCCTGGAAGATTATATGGCAGTTATTATCACCTACTACAAATGAGCACCCACTGTTTATCTTGTAGGTCCTAACCTTATCAGTACAAAGTCAAGCAGAATCTCAAGGTATTGTTTATTTGTCGCTCCAAGCCCAATTTCAAATCATTATGTAACCAAATGTGCTTTCCCATGTTTCTGATGGAGCAGGAAGTGCCATGTGAGGTGGGAGGAATAAGAGACAGGAAGGAACCAAAAAATCAGGGAAGATGAAGCAGGTTTAAAACCCTTGCACGAAGTCTAAAATTCCACAACAGTGAAGTCTGGAAGTACTATGCATAGCCACCCAAATGAAATCAATTATCCTGGTGTGAAAACTACATAAAAACACAGCTAACAACATGAGTGAATATCACCAGAGTGATATAATCTGAAAGACAGCATCTAGGGGGAGGAAGAAGACAAACGAGCTCCAAGAAAAGAGAGGGACAAAAAGATGAGGCTGAGGGGCACCTAGGTGGCTCAGTGGGTTAAGCCTCTGCCTTCAGTTTAGGTCATGATCTCAGGGTCCTGGGATCAAGCCCCACATTGGGCTCTCTGCTCAATAGGGAGCCTGCTTACGCACCCCGCCCCCACCTCTCTGCCTACTTGTGATATCTGTCTGTCAAATAAATAAATTAAAAAAAAAAAAAAAAAGATGAGGCTGAGGAGGCAGAGAGAGAGACTAACAGAGATGGGGCTGGAGACAGAGGGAAGGAAGAGAAACAGAAATGCACACAGAGAGTAAGTCAACCAGAAATAGAGACTCAGAGAATGAAACCTTATAATAATCAAGCACCATGAAATATTTTAACTTCCCAGCAATTTTTTAAAAAAGATTTATTTATTTGACAGAGATCACAAGTAGGCAGAGAGGTGGTAGGGGTGGGAGGGAGGGAAGCAGGCTCCCTGCTGAGCAGAGAGCGGATGCGGGGCTTGATCCCAGGACCCTTGGATCATGACCTGAGCTGAAGGCAGAGGCTTTAACCCACTGAGCCACCCAGGTGCCCTCAACAATTTTTTTTTTTAAAAGATTTTATTTATTTACTTGAGAGAGAATGAGTGAGAGAGAACATGACAGAGGAGAAGGTCAGAAAGAGAAGCAGACTCCCCAAGGAGCTGGGAGGCCGATGCGGGACTCGATCCTAGAAGTCCAGGATCATGACCTGAGCCAAAGGCAGTCACTCAACCAACTGAGCCACCCAGGTGCCCCAATTTTTCTTTTTTAATTTAGGTTTTCAAGTGCTGGGTGTGTATATTCAAAGGCCTATTTTGAGTCAGCAGGTATGCATATGACCATGCACATAAACTAGACCACAATAACCCCTTTGCATATAGGAAGGACATTTTGGCATTTAACTGAGTATTAGAGAGTATTTTAAAAAGCAAACAGAAAAAGCTAGTCAGGCAACCTCGCTTTTGTTCTAAACAAAACTTTTTATTTTCAAGGAAATAAGTCAATCAAGGGTCAGATACTTATTAACTGAGGTCTTTCTTCCCTTACATATATAGAAAATCATAGTTTAATAAAATCTTTCCCTGAATAGAATATTGATAACATTACTGGAATTGAATTCTAGGCACACACACACACCCTCATGTGATTTCAAGTTAAGGATTAATCCCATTAGTACACAGTAAATCAAACTGAAAACACTGCAACCTCCACTTTAAAATAGATGCAAATGATAATCTGGAACCTAGCCACAAAGTCATTCTTGGCTCTTCTCTGAAGCAATCTGCCATATGGCCCCAACAGCACTTTAAATCCAGGGAAGAGGCAGATGTAAAAGCCTCCTGGGCTGACCACTGCTGCGACCCACAATTAATCTCTGACCATCAGTTTCTAAGCAATCTCAGAAGCATCAATGCTAATCACATTGGAAGCCTTTATATGAATGTTTAGGCCCTGAAAGGCAAGCAGGGGAAAAGGTCAGGGGTATTTAACATAACTAAGCAGAGCTGGAAGAACACAACAATAAATAAAAACAGGAAGACTTATTCAATTTATTGACGTCAGCCTCCCACCACATACTCTTAACCATTTTTCTTATTCAATCAACTAGCTAGCCATAGCCCTTCTGAGGCTAACTACACTCACATACACACACAACTCCCAACTGCCAGAACTACCATCATAAATAGCAACTAGGCAAAAAAGACAACACCACCACAACAAAATGCTCCATAATCAGTTTATCAAATGGCTCATCAAATTAGGTACTTGATCTTTCATAAGTCACATGAAAAAGGGGAACTTTTGGTTGTTTTCCACTTCTGGAGCACACTCAGAGCATTTTGCTTAAGAGGAAGTAAGACATAATAAATGAGCACTGACTGTGAACAGAAGACAGTATCCAGGTCCCAGTTCTGCTGACAAGGCATTTACTCTCACTAAACCTATCAGTATAGAGGTTTCCCTACCTAGAAACTACCAATGATAGAATCAAAGTAAACTGTCAATAGACAGCATCAGTGATCATATACAGTCATCATTCCTCGTGTTTTTTTGTTTTGTTTTGTTTTTGCTAGTTTAGGCTTATTAAATACATACCATCTCAGCGCAGCCAAGTGCTGACATCCTGGCTGCTAGGATTCCCTAAAACAATTGTAGACACTACCACAGGCTTTACTTGCACTTAATTAATTTTCAACCTTCTGGTGACCAAAAGAATATCCATCAACCAGAAGACAGGAATATGCTTGTATTCAAATTTTCAATAGATTAAGCTCTCATTTGGTGAAAATGCTATTGGGATACTATGAGTTTAAATCCTTTCATGGTCACTCTGGACTGACAAATGACTTTCATTTTACAGACTGAGAATTATTTCTAAGGATAGTTTTAGTTTCTGATTAGCTATGATGTAAGAAGTATTAACCTAATTAACCTGAATAATTATTCAAACGGAGGCCAGATAGCGGAATGGTTAAGGGACTCAGCTTCTAGAGGAATACTTTAATCCTGAGTTTGAATCCCAGTTATACCAGCTAACTTAGGGAAGTAACCTACCCTCTCTAAGCTTCCATCTTCTCATCTGAAAAATGAAAAAAATAATACCTAATTTATAAATTTGATATATTAGGTAAAAAAATAACAGCATGGTGACTGATACATAGCAAGTACTTAATAAACATTAGGTATTGTTATTAAGAATTATTCTCATGCAAAAAAAATTTCTCATGCCCAGCAAAGAAATCAACATTCATTTACATAAAATGCTTACATTGTTCAAATCCATATTCCCTTCATTAAGAAAAATAGCTCAGCCTCTTTTCCCATCAAACCTAACATGCTGACGTTCAGAGCCAACCAGCTCAAATTTCAGAATAAATGACCCTGCACAATGAAAAAGATAAACACACGCCTTTGCCAAGAAGTTCCAGTATTCCTCTGTCAGAAGTTTAGCTGAAAACCAATGATGCTTTAAAAATGAACACATGTGGGGTTGCTCGGGTGGCTCAGTTGGTTAATCGTCTGCCTTTGGCTCATGTCATGATCCCAGGGTACCGGGATGGATGGAGTCCTACATCAGGCTCCTTGCTCAGTGGGGAGTCTGCTTCTCCCTCTTCTTGTGCTCCCCCTACTTGTGCTCTCTTTCTTACTCGTTCACTCTATCTCAAATAATAAAATCTTAAAAATAAAATAAATAAAATTAACACACATTGTAATTGATATAAAGCCTGGTAATTGTGGCAGGAAATGGGAAGTCACAAAAGCCAAGGCTTCCCAAGACTACTTCTACCTGTCACCCATTCCAAACCTGAGGTCTATTTTACTATTGAGAAAAGAATGCTGTCAATGTAGCAGGGGCCTAGCCTTTAGAGCACCCTGTGGACTTGTTTCTCTTACATGCTGAATGGACAGTGATGGGGAAGGGGAGGTTATGATACTGTGTCTATGGGGCTACAGTTAGGAAGGAAGAAGGTAGTTGTTTAAGACAGGCTCAAAAAATTTGTAGGAGTCCAACCTCAAAATCAAATCACAAAAATCATCCACTCTTTTTATTAACTTTGTCTTCTGCTCCATTTCTGATGATTGACTTGTAACTATTTTTCTTCTGATTATAAAAGTAATATGTTTATTATAAACAATTTCAAAAATATAGAAAAGAATGAAAAAAAGAGCATTAAATATGTTTATCTCACTACCCAATGGTAATCATACTTTTATTCATTTTCTTGTCAGTCCATTTTCCAAGCTCATACATGTACTAATGTGAACACAAAGACAATTAACAGACAGATATTTTAACATAATTGAGATATTCTACATATAAGTTTTTAATCCTTATTAAAGACTACAATTGCTAATTCTTTTTTTAAAAGATTTTATTTATTTGTTTGTTTATTTGAAAGAAAGAGAACAAGGGGAGGAGTAGAGGGAGAGGGATAAGCAGACTCTACGCTCAGTGTGGAGTCAGGCATGGAGAATGATCCCAGGAGCCTGAGATCACAACCTGAGCGGAACTCAAGAGTCAGATGCTCCAGCTCAACCAGTTGAGCCACCGCTACATTTGCTGTTTCTAATCATGCTTAAGCTTCTGCTCCCTTTCTGTGCTTTTTCTTATTTTAACCAATAAGGTATGTATATTTGTAGTTATCCAGAGAGCTTTTAGCTTTTCTAAGAAAAGGGCTATAAATATTTAACCAAGATATCAGACTAAAATGATTTGTGAAGAGTTTAAACACCAAAATTTTTTTTTTCTTTAAGTAAACTCTACACCCAACATGGAGCTGAAACTCACCATCCCAAGATTAAGACTAGCATGCTCTACCAACTTAGCCACCCAGGTGCCCCTAAATACTGAATTCTTCATGGGTGAAACTTAACATCTACAATTTGTTTAAAAAAAATTTTTTTTAAGTGGGGTTGGATAGGTAAAAACAGAGCAAAATAAAAAATTCTGTTAAGTACTGAAGATGGATAAACATGGGTTCACAATACTGTTTTCTTTACTTTTTAGTATGTTTGAAAATATCCTTAACAGTTTTAAAAATAACTTTTTTGGGAAAAGATCGGCTCTCTGATATAACCTCAACTTAGTAAGAGAATGCACAGTTCTAATCTAAAAAATAAATTTAAGAGGTCTATAATTAAATCAAAGAATCAATCTGAGAAAGCTTGGATCTAAGACATCAAAGGTTTATATGAGGGACCATCAAGATACAAGCACTAGCTGACTACTCATTCCATAGAAACAAACTGTAAGTGGCCATGGAAACCCTAATTCTAAAGCATATTTTTAAGTAAGAATATATTTACTTATGTATTTATGTATTTATTTATTTTTATTAACATATAATGTATTATTTGCTTCAGGGGTACTTGTCTGTGAATCATCAGCCTTACACAATTCACCGCACTCATCATAGCACATACCCTCCCCAATGAATTCTAAAGCATTATTAATTAGAGCTACTGCTTACCAAAACCAAAACCAGAAAAACACTCATTTTTAATTTTTTTTAATTTAAAATTTTAAAATTTATAGTATCTCTGGTGATCCTGGAGCTGATCAAACATCTATTCCAAATAAACAGAAAGACCATTTACTCTACAGAGATCCTTATTATTAATATAACTAATACTCTTCATGGAAACAGATAATTACATTTCTACAAAATTAAATTTCCACTGTTTACTTACATACAAAATTTGACCATTTCCTTTCTATACTAAAAAAAAAAAACCTGCAAGAGATGCATAGCCCTTAACTATGAACAGAAAAAAATTCTTTTTTTTTTTTTTTAATTTATTTTGATAGACAGAAATCATAAGTAGGCAGAGAGGCAGGCAGAGAGAGAGGAGGAAGCAGTCTCCCCGCTGAGCAGAGAGTCCGATGCGGGGCTCGATCCCAGGACCCCGGGATCACGACCCGAGCCGAAGGCAGAGGCTTTAACCCACTGAGCCACCCAGGTGTCCCACAGAAAAAAATTCTTAAACAATTTCTCAAATAAGCCAAAAAATTATAGTTAATAAACAGGTTCTTTACACAATTACAATTATAGATACCAATGTTCTTTATTTTCTCTCAGTCCTATCCCAAATACTAAAGAAATCAAAGGCAAAAACTTGAATTATATATTGCTTAAAAATCAAACATTTCCCAATTCCTATGGATAAGATGCAGTTTGAAAAATAAAGAACAGTAGACTAAGAACTAAGGGTCTAAGTTTTCATCCTAGCACTCTGCCACTAATCAATTTCTCAAGTACTTCATCTGTAAAACGTATTTTCATTCACTTGATGTGGATTTACTGAAGGCCTATAATGCATAAAACTTAATGAAAGATAAGACCCCTGTCCCCACTGATGGGGCGCCTAGGTGGCTCAGTCAGCCAAATGTCCAACTCTTGATTTCAGCTCAGGTCACAATCTCAGTGTTGTGAGAGATCAAGCACCACGTTAGGCTCAACACTCAAGAGGGAGTCTGCTTGAGATTCTCTCACGCTCTGCCCCTCACCCAGCTCTCTCTCTCTCTCTCTCTCTCTCTCTTTCTCTCTCTCTCTCTCTCTTTCTTCTCAAATAAATCAATCTAAAAAAGAAAAAAATCCCTGTCCCCACTGAAAGCATGAAACAACTGTAACAAAGTAGTGTAGGTGGTACAGTAGGAAAAGTAGAGAACACTGAAGGCACATGCCTGGTTGTACCCCAGATGCCTCCTTTCACCCATTCACCAATCCAGTCCGTCACTATCACAATGACTTGCCCTTCAAATGTCACCATATCTCCATCATGACCACTACATGATCCCAGCTATCATCCTTTCCTTTCTGGTGTATTGCAATAGCCTCTCCAACTGGTTAAACTCATTGTACCATGGCCCTTCTCCACTCAGTACCCAGACTGTAGTCAGAATAAACTTTTGAAAATGCTAATCTGATCAAATACATCAGCTTCCTCCTCCTCCCATACCAAATCCTTTAATGAGTTTCTATTGCCTTAGGAAGGCCTAGTAGGCACAGCAGGATTGCCTACTGGCCCCCATCTCCTTCTGCAACTTGTCCTCTCTCTCTGTGCTGCATCCACACTGGTCTTCTCTCAGTCTCTGGGGATATCATGTCCTTTTTACCACAGTGCCTTTGTACATGCTGTACCCCCTGCCCAGAATGTAATCATCTCTCCTTTTCTCCTTGGTAAAACTTCTACTCACCCCTTCATACTTAGTTCAAAAGTTATTTCTTCAAGAAAGGTTTCCTTTATTAAACTATATCCTTTCTAATAAAGTATCATAATGCTATATACCTCTCCCTGATGTAACAGAGGTACACACATACCTTCATAGGAACCCAAAAGAGTAGCAAACCTATCCTGGCAGGATCAGAGATATCAGAAGCAGTGATACATGAAATGATGCTTGAAAAAGGTATAAAATTGTGGATGAAAGAAAGGCAGAGAAGTCAGAAACTGGTTCATCCCTTCTCTTGTAACCCTCAAGGCACTTAACAAAGTGTGGAGAATACTGTAATTGCTCACTGTATGTTTGAACTAAATGACTAAATACTAGTCTCTTAAAACATACTTAGCTTTAACATACTGACTCAGAATTAGGTTAACAACATTTTCTTCACAACTGGTATTTACAAAATCAAAGAGAATATAGTATAAAATTGATATCTCTTGCTGGGATTTTAAATAAATTCTCTTACACAGATGACATTATTTTTCATTGTTTCTCCACTCCTTCTTAGTGTTAATAATGGAGAGTAACCATATAATAACAAAGATTTTCATTGAATTTTAATTATCTGGCCTGCAAAATGGCAAAAATACCACTTAACTCACTGCATTATAAAGATTAAATTAGATAATTTGACATAAAACGTTTGGCCTATAGCAAATCCCTGGACAAATATTAGTTCCTTCCCACCTTCTCTATTTCACTTTTAAAGAGGTGTTCTCTGAAAACATACCGATTGAAGTTAATGTCTGGGTAGCTAGAATACTCAGATTTCATCTTAGCATTTCGCCGTGGAAATGTGCAGAAGAAAGCATTAGCTAAAAGACTGGCAATCTGTTCCTGTGACATTGTGATGGAATGATTCATCTTCTGTTTCAGGAGCGGTATTGGCTGACAGAGGAAACAAAATATACAGACAAGAAGAACAATAATTAGTTTAGCAATTTTAAAAGCAGAGGCACCAAATTGCATTTGCTAAATTAAGGCAGGAATAATTTCAGGCCACTCTTGAATCCGTAAATCAGCAGTACTGTTGAAGTCAAGGGCAGTTCATCAAGGATGATTGGAAAAGTGTACTTGTTTGACAAACTGCAGATTTCTAATCAATAATAATGATAGTGCAGAGAACACAAAATGTTACTTATTAGCGGAAAACAAGATTGCTTTAGCAAGTAGGAAATAAAAACACATTATCCATGTAATGAAAAATTTAAACAAAAGATGAAACAAAAAAATGCAACACTGAGTTTAGCTATTATTACATATGCTAAATTTTATTTTCACTTGTATTTATAACTGCCACATGGAGCAATTTTTCTATCTTAGTCCTAAATAAAATGATCTAAGGAAAATAATTCAATAAATAAGTCTTTTCCTTCTAATTCTGAATTACACTTTACTTTGACAATTTCTTTACGAGACCTAAATCTAATTTTATTAAAGCAATTAATAGGACAGGTGTATACAGACTTATGTGTAACTTGTAAGAAGATAGGCATTTCCTACATACTCATTTTAAGCCAAGGAAGACATAGGGCATTTTCCCTTCAAAGTTTTTATGATGGAAATGTCTTCTAGTTGTACCAAATCCAAATTCATTGACCTCTTCTTTTCAGTATAATCCATGGACCTAACTATTATGTTCAGTTGGTCTTATTCTATTTTAAATGTTTAAACTACATGTTTTCAAAGTCATGATGGTAAAGTCAAGTTTATGTATCAGTTGTAAAGTTTTTAAAACGCTCCAACATAATGTTTAAGATGCTTTTCCTTCTACCTTTCGGTAAGACACTGAAGTAAGAATCCTGGATTCCTGCATTTATTTCAAACCAGTATACAAAGACAACTGTCCTGATCATATCTAAGGAATCAACACCAAAAATGAAATTGAGGAAAGGCAGGCAAGACAAATCAAAACTGCAATAATATAAAAATTAATTTTTTTCTAAGTAACAGAAAACAGACATCAGTGCTAGAATAAGAATTTGCTAGAAAAAGAAAAGGTTAAATTTGCAGTTCAACTATTTCCCTTGGGAAAATACAAAGATAAACTAACAAGGGAAATGGAAAGAATCACTATAATATCCAAAATTTTCTCCTTTTAGGCCTTAGCAATTACCATTTCTAAGAAAGAAGAAACAGAGAGGTCATATGGGTTTCTCTTTCCATCCTATACACTTATTTACAACCCAGCAATGAGTTTAGAAAAGGTGACAATGTATCAATGGCTTCAAGCAAACTGTTACTTAGTTTTTTAAAAAAATGAGCTTCTAACTGCAATTTACCAAGTTATCCATAAAAATGACTTTAAAAAGTAATGGTGATATTTTAGGCTTACTGAACTATAAACACAAACATCTCTTAACCCCCAAATAACAAAACAGTACAATTTTAAATACAGTAATTTATTTCTATTTTCTTGGAGGAGGAATGTCTGAAAGCTCAACATTTGGGGAGAACTAGAAAGTGTGAATCTTTTAAGTGTTCAGCTAGATAAAATAAGAGACTGACTGATTTAATACAAACCAAGATCGTTCAAAAAGTTAATCTCAAAAATCTGCTTCCTTCCTTTAATTTGCTTTTTATAAATCTAAAATTTACCTTTTGGGTTTGGCCTAGAGAATGTTAATGTGATAAATCATTAAATAATCACATATGCAATTTAACTTGCCAAAGATACACTGTGATATCAAAGTGAAGTGTTAACTTTCACAGCAGAGATTTACTTTTCAGTAGAGTAGAAAGCCCAGACTTAAAATGTTCTCCCCATTAATACATGAATAGAAAAACAAAATTGTTTTTAACCAGGCCAAAATGTTGGGGAGCCACAAGTCCAATTTTGTTTTACCAAGTGCCTTGTTAGAACTTATAAATTTAGATGTTTTTGAATATGTATCTCATTACATAAAATATGGAAATGCTCTTCTTGCCTAAGTGCAAGGGGAAGAGAAGATTAAGTGATTCATGTCTGAAGGCTATATACTATCAATTATGAACTACATGTTGAATTAAAAGACCATTTAATTAAGCACATGGAACTTGAGGTCACAAAGAGGATTTCCCTTCAAGAAGAATATAATATAGTAGGGGGAGATATATAAAGACAAAAATCACAAAATAATGTTCTAAGTGTGACTTGAGTGTCATAGGAGGGGTTAACTTTGGCTAGGAGAGGTAGGGAAGGCTTCGCAGGAGACATAAAAGTTAAGCACAACCTAAGAGATAGTAAGGGATCTTACTAGGTAAGGAAAAAAGCAACGAGAAAAAGCATAAAGAATGAACATGACACATAAGTAAGCAAAAAAAACTTCCAACATAAGGAGTATTAGTATGTATTTTCCCTGCCCAAAAGAAAACTTATTTCAGATACTATGCATTAATGATGTGAAATTAAAGTTACACAAAATGAGAAATATCACAGTAAGATGCTAACAAATATGGCACATCAAAAAACATACAGTGGTTCTTAACTGAAGGTGGCATGGCCCTCAACCATTTGCTTATGTTTTTAGATTGTTCCAATGACTATGGCTGTGGTTTTGTGGGTATCCCCAATGACAAGTTACTATGTGTGAAACCATTTCTCACATGTGTAAACTATTCCACCCAAAATGTCCCTAGGGCCTCTGTGGAGCAACAGTATTACCAAAACCCTGGCTAGCATCCATGCAGCAAGGGGGCTAGCTCTAGAAACAAAAGACAGAGGCAAATTCACAACCTATGTTGTGAGGAACACAGGAAGAAAATTATAAAGAACAAACCAACAACCTCTTACGGTTATCTGAAAATGTGTCCACAAATTATTTGATATTTCCTCCTTTTAAAAGATTTTTAAAAATATTTTATAATTGAGAGAAAGAGAGCATGAGCGGGAGGGGCAGAGGGTGAGGGAGGGAGAATTCCAAGCAGACCCTGAGCTGAATGCAGAACCCAACACAGGGCTTGATCTCATAACCCTGAGATCGAAACCAAGAGTCAGACACACTCAACCAACTGCGCCACCCAGGAACTCCGACATTTCCTTCTTCTAAGAGAGTCTAATTACCATCTCCTTGAGTGTGGATTAGATTTAGTGACTAATTTGTAATCAACAGAAAAATAGCATGAGTGACAGTAGGTGCCTTCAAAAACTAGGTCAAAAAAGGCACTGCCAATTTCCTGTTCTCTCCCGTAGGTGGCTTGTTCTGGAGAAGTTAGCAAGCATGTCGTGAGGACAAGTCAATCAGCCTAGGGAGAGGGCCATCGCAAGAAATTGAGGGCTTCTGGGTGCTGGGTGGCTCAGGTGGTTGAGCCTCTTCCTTCAGCTCAGGTCGTGATCCCAGTGTCCTGGGACTGAGTTCCGTTATCAGGCTTCCTGCTCCGTTGGGAAGCCTGCTTCTCCCTCTGTCTCCAACTCCCTCTCTCTGTGATGAATAAATAAATACAATCTTAAAAAAAAAAAAAAGAAAGAAAGAAAGAAAGAAATTGAGGGCTTGTGCCAAAAGCCATGTGAGTAAACCAACTTAGAGGCGGCTCCTCCAGCCTCAGTGAAAGCTTCAGAGAAGGACTGCAGCCCTGACCAACACCCCGACTGCGACCACGAAAGAGATCCTGAGCCAGAACCACTCAGCAAAGCTGTTGCTGAATTCCTGACAGACAGAGACTGTGAGATAATAAATGTTTGTTGCTTTAAGCCACGGAATTTTGGCAAATTTATTATACAGCTATAATTAACATACTCCCCCCAAAAAGAATACCAGATTCTTTTATTTGTAAAAGTTATAAAAGTACCATGAGCTCACTTGTTATATAATACACCACTGTGAGGTAAGGAAGAGCCATTCTGAAGAAGATGAATGTTCTAAATCCATTAGTATGTCTTAGAATAATGACATTTTTTTTTAAAGTCAGAGATTATTTAAACAAAATGAGAATAGGAACTCTGAATAAGCAAACCTCAATAGTGTAAACTGAAGCTCAGAAATTGAATGCTGCATTTTTAATGTCCTTTTGTAGCATTCCCTCTAGCCTCTAACCTTTACTTCAGTATAGCAAAATCTTTACACTCTTTGGTAAAAACTGTTTCCCATCTCTTTCTTCTCTCTCTTTGACCCTGGCCATTAGAGTTAAAAAGAAATTCAATTGTGAGTGCCAAGGACGCTACTGAGGAAGAAGTTATTTCTACTAACCTGGGTGCAAATATTGGGCAGACAGAGTGCAATTTTCACCATATCAGGCAAAATGGACTGATATAAATGTTGAGCTTCTGCTTCTTCAAGTACCTGAAAACCAATCAAATATATTAGTGAATAATAACCAATGAACAAATGTTTGTTATGAAATTAAATTACATACCTGCTTTTCACTGAATCCCATAAGGCACTTTATCAGTATCATCAAACACATGTAAAAGTACACCAACAGACATGTACTAAGGTGGAACTTCGGTATTTAAAAACTCTTTTTTTTTTTTTAAAGATTTTTATTTATTTATTTCACAGAGAGAGCATAAGCAGAGGGAACAGCAGAGGGAGAGGGAGAAGCAGGCTCCCCACTGAGGACCCTGGGATCATGACCGGAGCCAAAGGCAGATGCTTAACCGACTGAGCCACTCAGGCACCCCTACAAATTCACTTTCAAACGTATCTAATCTCCTGAATACCCTCTGAAAGCTAATTAAGTATCCCAAATATCAAATATCTCTCATGTCAACTTTCACAATTAAATGAAACACTTGCAAATAAAAAAACCCAGCACATTCTGCCCTTAGTTACAACTAAAAACTGCTAGACCACTAAGGACTCACTAAGAAACTCTAGAACCCATTCAGTTTCAATTGTTCATAATTTTAAAAAATCACCATAAAAAACATACTAATTATTTCAGAGCACAGTATATTTTTCAAATCTAACCTACTGGGTAGTAAACAATGAGGTTTCTGATGATCATAGAATTTTTATTTTAAGGCACTGCTGGGAGGTTAAAACCACAATTCCCACATCATAATCTGAAGTACAACAAAGACAACATTCATAGCCCATTTTTATCTTTTATAATTTCCCATCCCTACAGGCTTTAGAAATTACTTTAGGTCTTTTGATCTAATTTCTCTCTAAAAATGTATCTTTAAAAGTACTGAAAATGAAAACACTGTTAATTTGGGAATTAACCAATTAACCATTTGGAAATTGTTAAGTCAGGATTAAAGTAAAACATTTATCAAATTAAAATTACATTTGAACTAAAGGAGGTCTCATTTATAACCCAGTCTGATTCTGTCATTATTACATAGGAAAGAAAACTGAGGCCAAGGAGGTTACCTGATTATCCTAGCTTGAGAAGGTCAATTAGCAACTAAATCAAAACTAGAACCCAAGTGTTCCCACCTCTACTCCACTACTCTCCCCACGTCTCTACTTGAAAGGGATTAATGAGGATACAGACTCTTCACAAACCTACAGACTTTCTTTGCTATAAATTGGAATTAAGGAACCTTCATTCGTCTATCTGAAGCTGCACAAGGTATGTCTGTAAATAGAAAAAGTAACAATTTACATCTACTCTGGTTTTATAGAGCATTTCTAACACTAAGATTTGTCATTATATCAATACGCTAACATCCAACCTATGCTTAAGCTCCCTCTCTAAATTAGGACAGTGTTAGATCTTTTATTGTAGTACCAAAGGTCCTTCGACTGTTTCTTTGGGTTTTTTTCTTTTTGCCAGTCTATTTTCTTTGTATTGTTCAAAATGAGTAATTCTGTTGTTCTCTTTCAAGTTTACCATTTCTTTCTTCTGTCATCCCATTTCTTCATTGAGCTCATTCATAGCACTTCTTTAAAAATTTCAGTTATTGTATTTTTCAGTTCTAAAATTTCTATTTGGTTTTTTATCTTTATAGCTACTATTTCTTTACTGAAACTATTTTTTCATCATTTTTAGCAGACTTGTAATAGCTCATTGAAGCCTTTTGTGATGGCTCCTTGAAAATCTTGTCATATAATTCTAAAAGCTGTTTTATCTTGGGGTTGAGGTCCACAGACTGTCTTCTCATTTCAACACAGATCTTCCTGATTCTTGGTGATGAGTCATCTTTTATTGGAATCTGGGTATCTTGGGTATTATGTTATGAGATTCTGGATCTTATTTAAATCTTGTTTTAGCACTCCTTCTGTAACAGAGGAAGGCAAGAGCTAACTTCTTACTGCCAGTTTGGAGTAGAAACTCAGGCCCCCTACTTGTGAGGAGTGGGGAAGGCATCTTGTGCCACTGGGTGGAGTTGAGAATTCAAGTTCCCGGACAGACCTCTACTGTACATTTCTAGGGCCCCACAGACCATAGCTGGTCAGTATTTTCTCTACCATTCAGAGTGTTCTTATGTTTATATAGTATCCACGGTTTTAACTACATTTAGTAGAACGGACAGGGTGAAATGTCTACCCAAATATTTTAACCTAAAGACATTTAACCTTTATATGTCTAAATGGGCTGACAGCTTCTCTTTTGGGTACCTATCCTTGTCTTTTAAAATTGACAGACCAAGTAGTCGCTGCCGTGCTTTGCTGACGGTCACAAGCTTTAAAAATATCACTTATTTATCTGATAAAATGTTACTGCACTGGACTTCTTCACAACTGTCAACACTTCAGAGCTATGTCTAAATGCTGCTTTGGAAACGCAAATGAGAACATAAAAAAGTATCATTCGAGAACATGACCCACCCAACTATTGTTTGAGATAGAATGCATAATTTATGGGGCAACTGAGTGGCTCAGTTAGTTAAGCAGCTGCCTCTGGCTCGAGTCATGATCCCAGGGTCCTGGAATCGAGTCCCACATCGGGCTCCCTGCTAGGCAGCAAGCTTGCTTCTCATTCTCCCTCTGCCTGCTGTTCTGCCTACCTGTGCTCTCTCTCCATCTCTCTAATAAATAAATAAAATCTTTAAAAAAAATAGAAAGCATAATTTAAAAAGCTACTATGATCTTCAGCTTTCTCACATATTAGTATTTTTATGCAAATATTACCTTTTATAAATTATTATTTATTAACCTATACAATGCAAACCAAGATATAAATGATGAAAGGTTTTTAAAATATAAGTCATTTCTTAAAAAAAAAAAAGTAAGTCATTTCTTAAAAAAAAAAAAAAGTCATTTCTTTACTTCCAGAGTAGCAAGAACCTTGAAGAATAGAATAAGTGTTTATTTATAATAAAGCATCTACTATGTTTATAATAATGGCAATGATGATTATAAGGAAAATAAACATAAGACAATAAAAGGAGAGTTTCATTAAATTTTCTCACAAGTAAAGCCCTGCTCTCTACTGGATTGTCTGCGTACATAACTAGATGTAGCAGGTGTTTCTGCATGTGTATACGTGTGTGTATGTTGTATTTTTATTCTAGTTCCACAAAGCGTATATATGTCTCAAAGTGTATGTCTCATTCAGAATTGACATAAGGAGTTTCAAAATTGTAATGCCATTTTGTTCATCTCTTCTTTTTAAACTATAAATCTGTTTGTTAATTCAACTCACCAGTAAATAAGTATTTTGAGTATTTATTATGTACCAGACACTGTACCAGGAATGAAGACAGAACTGTAAACAATAACAGACATGATCACTGACCTCATGAGTCTCACAGCAGAAAGCCCTATGTTCTTTCTGTGACTGCCACCCCCACCCATAGGTCAGCCCTAACCCTGAAGAACTGTCCTGGGTCATACTATAAGCTCATCACAGTGACTGTAGAAAGGTTATCTTTCTTTCTTCCTTTAGCAGACAGAAACATGGATGAACTACTTAAAAAGAGTAACTGATATGCCAAACGTCAAAACGTTATGTTTTAAATCTCTAAAAGCATGCAAAGGAAGAGATGTTTACTTATTTCTTCTTTCTTAGAATATTTGACCAACTAAAACTAAATCTATGAACTGTGCTCTATTACTACAGATATATTCATAATGACTAAGTACAGTGTCTGGCATAGAGAAAGTATTAAATAAATAATGACTTCTGAACCTTGAGAGAGTAAGAGAAATCTGTAGCTGATAAAATCAGAAAACTACCATCATTTTACTAAAAGAGGAAGTTGCCGCTGATCTACGTCTTCAAATAGTTCAGAACTTTAAAAAAGTGACCAGTCACAAATCAATGAATATAATAAACACCTTAAGTCATTCCATTTTTTATTGATATAAAAGTAGTTAGATCGCAGTAAAACTTTGAAGATACTACTAATCTCTTTTAATGAAAATTTTCAAAAAAACCCCCCAAAACCAACCCTTTATATACAAGGTCTAGACTATTAAATTTTATTACATAATTTTTCAAAAAAAAAGTACCTCACACCCCAAAATTTGAACAGGAAAAAAGTCATAATTCTCTGATCCTAAAATTAAAATAACTACTCAATTTTGTTATGTTAATTTTTTAACTAAATGGTATACTATATTTTATTGCAACTTGATTTTCTGCCTTAAGAGAAAGCCATAGATGTCTTTCCATGTAACAGAATGATAAATGTTACTAGATGTATAATTCCCTATCAATAGTAATTATTTTTCTCAACATTGTATGAAACTTTCAAAAATACAGCAAAGTTAAAATAACTATACACTAATACCATATACTCAGTAGTTTCTATAATTAAATCATATTTTTCTATATTTACTTTTGTCAGATATCTACCCATCCATCAATCCATTTTTAAATTCACTTTGAATTGGGTACATCTGTACATTTATCACTTCAGCCTGCATATCAACAATGATAGCTTAATATTTAATTTAATATTTTTTTTTTCTTTTGAGATAAAATTTAAATTCAATGAAATATACTAATCTTAAGTGATATACTTAAGTGGCATATTACCATTCAACAAATTTTTTTTACAAATGTATATACCTGTAAACCTAGACCCTTATCAAGACATAGGACATCATCAAAACCTGAAGAGTTCTCTTGGGCACCTGGGTGGCTCAGTCAGTTAAGCGTCTGCCTTTGGCTTGCGTCATGAGTCCAGGGTCCTGGAATTGAGTCCCCCATCAGGCTCCCTGATCAGCAGGGAGCCTGCTTCTCCCTCTTCCTCTGCCTGCCACTTTGCCTACTTGTGATCTCTATTTCTCTCGAAAATAAACAAAATCTTTACAAAACAAAACAGTGGCACCTGGGTGGCTCAGTGGGTTAAAGCCTCTGCCTTCAGCTCAGGTCATGATCTCAGGGTCCTGGGATCAAGCCCCGCATCAGGCTCTCTGCTCTGCAGAGAGCCTGCTTCCTC